ACATAATTGAAAGGTTTATGACTAAATCGACAAATCGTCAAGAGGTTTAGGACTAAATTAAAACAATTAAAAGGTCGGGCCTCTTCACAATAGGTTTAGGACTTCTTGGACAATTTGCCCAACATTTTTCTATTGGGCAATTCCGACCTTGGTCTTCATTGAGAAGTCTTCCTTGAGGGGCTCACATCCATTTAGCGAATTTTGGGGGATACAACTTATAATTACATTACTTAGTGACCAATTTATAGACCACTTTTAGTAAAACTATATTATTGAGAGGAAAAATCTAAAAGGTAATGACAACACCAATATATATAACCAAGATCACACTGGGCTCAAAGCCCGGGACTCAAAAGTGCCTATCTCAACATTCGATACGCTAATTCTTGGGCTTTCATAAAGTGCCTATCTTAGGAAACAACTTGTAATATGCTGGTTTGATTAAAAAATCAAATGGGGCCAGTAGCCCACTCAAGAAAACATCTTGTAAATTCCGAGCCGAGCCGAAATAGCTAGCTAAATATCTTTTTCGCCGAAATACTGCCATAGATAAAAGTAACATTCAATCTGCTTTTAGCATCTTAATGCTAAACATCAAACTAAGAAAGTTCTCATTAATGCATTAAATTTGAAGCATTTTGAACTTTATTAGCTATATTGGCTAACCATGGATGCCAAGAAAGTATACTGCTGGATAACATTTGGTTATAACGATGTGCAAGGGCATGTTCGACATGTCGCTCATCTCTTAGAGTAAAGTCACAATGGTTCATATGATTAGTGAAGTATTTTGCGGGATCAGGACACGCTATACATACGATTCTCTAACATCAGATAGTATGTATACATTGTGATTCTCATGGAACACCAAATGAGTCTGAGAGGATATGATTTGCAGTAAAAATCAATAAAGGGAATTTGAGATTTGAATTGCAATCAATAAATTGTACTAAAATGAAACTTGTAAGCTATCATCAAGTTCCTTGCACAATGGATACAACGAGGCTACACATTGCCAATCAAAGGCTAGTGGTGGAGGCACCATGACTTAGGCTCCTTTTGTCTAGCGAAAAATGAATGATTTGAAAATATTTTTATATAAATGATCGACTGTATTACTCAAACTAATTAGTCAATAAAAAATGTTGTCATTATTGACAATAATTTATGTCTACATAATCTTGTAAACAATAAAAATATTTTTTCGTTCATTCATTATATAAAGCGATACAAGCGATTGTTTTTTAGGAAAATATTTTTTAAATCACATTTTTCGCAAAATAAATGGAGCGTTAGGGTATGTTTAACCATTGCAAAACCTGGAGAAGTTAAGCCAATGGCAGAGTTGGCTATAGTTGACATGTTACTCGACTTTTTGATTGACATAAGTAAAGCCATTAATCCCAGGGCAGTTCTTGATTTGATTGCAGTCGAGCAATAAGTAGAAAACTTTGATACTTAATGGGAATATTTTCTTGAATCTAATTTAAAGTAAGGGTTTAACTTGAAAGGTGGAAGCGATTACGGCAACAAAGAGTCGAGTTAAAATCAAGCTTTTCCGAGGCATAGAGGTGGTAAATTGCAAAATGATAACATTGGCCGGAATTGACGGTCGAGGACTGACAAGTCAAATTTGTAGCCAATTAAATGGAACCCAATTATTATTAGTGTTACGGAAACAAACGATTGAACAATAAACTTCTAATGAAGGGAAGACTGATGGAAACATAATTAGTGGCAAGAGATCTGTATCCCACACCAATACCTTCCTCTTGTTCTTCGTGGCTCTGCGTTGTCAACCAGCAGATCTACTCTCATCTGACATGACTTAAAAGTTGAATTCTTGCCTTTCCTCGATCGTGATCGCACAACGATCAATACAAAGAATGTGGTGGTGTTGACCAAAAGTTGTTCTATCTAGTTTGTAGTCAATGCTGTCCTTGTTGACTATATCAGAGACGATTTTTAAACGAACGGTAATATCCTTGCACATGTACATCTAGATCATGACATACCATGTCTAGGGTTATACCCATTGTTAGAAAATACGACCCAAAATCTTAAGTAAGGTCTCCTTTCACATGCAAGCCGGATAATGAGCAACACTAGGTAGATGCACATTCGTGAAAGAAATAACACTAGTTCAAATATTGTGCTAGAAAGTCCAACCCAAAAACTTAAGCTAACAGGCAAAGGAGATCACATGAATATAAATAGTATTTAGGATCCGCTGTCAAGCGATGTGAGATAATAATTTAACATATATAATGACTTATCTCCGCTACAATTTTGATCATACAAACTTTGCTCATACATATATATATATATGATTTTTCAAAAAAAAAATTTGTTCTGGGGATACTTTTTAAATGATAACTGAATGAATGTCATAGATCTTAACAGGATAGATCTTCTCATATTACACGTAATCTTTGCTTCAAAGATTAGATTAATTTTTTAATTGTTTCGATATTTTTTGTTCCTAAGTGCTTCAAAGATTAGATTAATTTTTTAATTGTTTCGATATTTTTTGTTCCTAAGTGCTTATGTTATATTTGTTAATCAAAATCACATGCGAGAGTGGCGAAGGGCGGACCGGGGAGCTTTAATGATGTTGTCGCGGAAACGACATAAATGAATGAACATCACGTGGTGGAGTCAGAAAGTCAAAGCACCGTCACGTGCGGGGCGATCCAAGTCAAGTACACTGCTATTACTGCATTTGCATTTAATAAGACTTCCACCATCCCATCTCGAAACTAATGCGCGCACATAGGAAAACAAGACAAAAAAAATAAAATGACACAAACAGTCCCTTAACGTTAATTCAATTTGTAATGTAATTCCTGAATTTTTAATTTGTTCAATGTAGTCCCTGAACTTTAATCTAATATTTAATTTTGCCCCTGAACTTTTAATTTGTTCAATGTGGTACCTGAACTTTTTGCTACATTTTCATATTGTTTAGAGACTAAATTGAATACGTACCAAAAGTCCAGGGACCACATTGAACAAATTAAAAGTTCATGGGTCAAATTGAACATTAGGTTAAAGTTTAGGAACTACATTGAACAAATTAAAAGTTCATAGACCACAATGTAAATTAGGTCAAAATTCAAGTACTGTTTGTGTCATTATCCAAAAAAAAAAATAATAATTCCATCATCCCCTTGTTCACTCCCTTGCGCGCACGAACTACTCTTCATGATCATAAATTTTTTTTATATATGGAGGTTATCTATGGAAAATTAAATATGAAGCTTCTAGGGAAAATGCCCAAATACCTCTTATCCGAGCATTTTTCTCGAATACTACTTATCGCGTTTCAATTAACACCCTGCTCATGGCCGGTGCACAAAATTGCCGTCCTACGAGTGAGTAACAGGCACGTGCTCATGTCCAACCATCCAAAAGAGGGGGATAGTTGAGAAGAAGTTGGCACGAGAGAGCTAGGTTTTCAAATTAGGGCTTTGAGGGCATGGAGGAGGAGAATTGTAGATGTGGATGGACGGCTCGGACATCATGGACTGAGGTGAACTTAAAGAGACAATTGCTTTCATGCGTTGAGTATTGGGTAAGTGAAGTTTGTGCATTTTCTGAGACTTAGAGTTTATACTTGAGGTTGTATCAAGAACTCGCTCAATTATTCCAATTGGATTCTGAAATTTTCTCTTTCCCCCTCTCAAATTCGATTTAGGGTTTATGTTTCCTCAACAGGAGATTTAGGGCTTATTTTGTGCTATTCACGTGATTTTTCATGAGTTAATCGGGGGGAAATGAAAGTTTGGGACAAAAATGTGCTAAGTATTTTCGTAGCTTTCGAAGTTTCCAAGATATGTTTTATTTAATGACTCATGTTGCTGAATGTACTTGGGAACTCATTAAGTATATAAAACTATCTTAAAACAACAATCTTGTTAACGAGTACTCTCAAAAGAAAAATATTTTCATTTTTACGGCACTAATTGTGATTACATATAACATTCCAAAATGGTCTTTTAAAAATGACAAGCTATGTTTATTGAGATTTTTCGACACTTGTAAACAAAAATCTTAAAAGAAAAGGTTCCTTTTGATTTTCCAAAATATGTATCATGAATTAAAAGAAAATTATATATTCAGAAAAAGTGCATAAATAGTAGGGAAAATTTCAATTAAGGACCCCAAGTAAGGTCTTTTTCTCAAAAAAGGACTCCAAGTGGACATAATGTCAAATAAAGGCCTGAAGTATCAATCAGTCTCAAATAAGGACCCGAAGTGCCCAATTAGTCTCAAGTAAAGGCCTGGGTTCGCCGGCTGGTCAAATGTTCACCGACCGGCGAGCACGTTACTGTTCCAGTGACCGGAATAAGAGCACTTTTGTCTTTTTTCTTTTTAATTTTTTTCTTTTTCTATTTTTTTCTTTTCCTTTTCCTTTTTCTTTTTTCTTTTTTTTTCCTCTCTTCCTTCCGTTGGCCATAGCCAGGGCCGACAGAGGTCGTCGGCCTCAGGCAAAGGCTACCCTCGCCGGCGTCGGGCAAGAGCGACCCTCGCCAGCCCAGGCGAGGGCGGCCCTCGCCCGACGCTAGTGAGGGCAACCTCCACCTGAGGCCAACGACCTCCGCTGGCCCCAGCTATGGCCGGCGGAGGGAAGAGAGGAAAAAAAATAGAAAAGGAAAAGGAAAAGGAAAAGGAAAAGAAAAAAACAGAAAAAGGAAAAAAAAAAAGAAAAAATTAAAAAGAAAAAGTAGAAATTGCCCTTATTCCAGTCGCCGGAACAGTAACATGCTCGTCGGCCGGTGAGCATTTGACCGACCGACGAACCCAGGCCCTTACTTGAGATTAATTGGGCACTTCGAATCCTTATTTGAAACTGATTATACACTTTAGGTCCTTATTTGATATTATATCCACTTTGAGTCCTTTTTTGAAAAAAAAAAAGACCTTATTTAGGATCCTTAATTGAAATTTTCCCTAAATAGTATTTGTTTTCCCCAACAGCGCCTTATAAATTGCACCTACCTGCAAAACTCAATCCCTCAACAGACCCAAGAGGCAAAAATGACCCACTCGTTTCTTCTCTTAGCTTTCCTCCTCCTAGCCACACCCCACATCTCAGCTCAACCCCCACCACCAGCACCGCCTCCATCGCCACCGCTACCGCCACCGTCGCCGGCGTCCCCGCTCCCCGCCGCCGCCCAGGAGTTCCTGGACGCCCACAACGAGGCCAGGACCGAGGTGGGCGTGCCCCCGCTCCGGTGGAGCCCCAACCTGGCGGCCGCCACGAGCCGCCTGGTCCGGTACCAGCGTGACCGGATGTCGTGCAGCTTCGCCAACCTGACGGCCTCCAGTTTCGGCGGGAACCAGCTGTGGGCCGGCGGGGCGGGCACGGCGCTGGCGCCGCGGGCGGCGGTGGGGGCGTGGGTGAAGGAGAAGATCTACTACGACCACGCGAGCAACACGTGCGCGGCGGGGCACCAGTGCGGGGTGTACACGCAGGTGGTGTGGAGGAACAGCTCGGAGGTGGGTTGCGCGCAGGCGAGGTGTCTCAAGGAGGCGGCGAGCTTGACCATCTGCTTCTACAACCCTCCGGGGAACGTCGTCGGAGAGAGGCCTTACTGAGTAGATCGGTGATGTGGGTGAGAGATCTTTGGGAAGATGGGGATGAGCTGGTGTTCTAACTTCTTTTGTTAGTGATCTTGAAGATGGTCATTTTGTTTAGAGATGTTCTCTTCTCAGTTTGAGCAGTAGAAGAAAAGCACTGGTGATCTTACGCTTCTTGCGATCTTTTCTTTACATTTTAAAGATTATCCATGCTGTGCATTTCTTTAGTTTTCAATTTAGTTGTAGACTTTGTAGTGACCCTCATCGACCCTCTTCTCAATTTGGGCAAAGGATTGATATTCAGTTGCACCCAAAGATTTCGAAAATGAAATTCTTGAAAATAGCGTTTAAGTTAAAGAGGGTCGAGATTGGAATCGATTCTTGCTTTGAGGGAAAACTTCATTCAAAAGGGACACAAGTACCAAGTCGCTCACGCGTATTGGATCTCACCTTCTTTTCTGTGATGAATAATACAAGCAAGCAAAATAAATAATATAATAAACAAATATGAAAGATAAGACAAGCAAGATATTTTGCGGTTCACATGTCTGCATGTGTGGATACACCTTTTAGGAAAAATTTCAAATAAGAACATGAAATATCATCATTTTCTCAAATAAAATTTTGAAATAAATATTATGTCAAATAATGACTTGAAGTGGCCATTGTAGTTTCAAATAAGGGCCTGACCTCGCTGGTCGCTGGCCGGCTAAATATTCCGACCGGTCAAGGAAATTTTCATCCAAAAATATTTTAATTTTAAATTAAATTTTATTTTTTTCTCTTTTCTTTTTTTTTTCTCTTTTCGGCAAGGGCCTGGTGACCCTCGCTGGCCACTGGGTGAGGGCCTGCAAACCCTCACTAACCGCTAGTGAGGACCGTGACCCTCGCCGGCTGCTAGAGAGGGCCTTGACCCTTGCCAGCGATAAGCGAAGACCGGCCTCGCCAATGACGGGTGGGATGGCCCTTAAAGGTGACCCTCGCCCAGCCCTCTCCCGCCATCGCTTGAGATTGACCACTAGTAAAGAAGAAAGAAAAATCCAGAAAAAGGAAAAAAAGAAAGAAAAATGGGAAAAATTTTAAAAAAAAATGTAAAGGATGAAAATGCCCTTGACCAGTTGAAAAGTCAGGTCCTTTTTTGAAACTGACATTATTGAAAAAACCTCCGAATAGATTTTGAAGTTGACAAAACTATCCATGTGTGTTTTATAAGTCTGATAAATGCCTTAAAGTATTTTGATTCAGGAAGTTATTCTTGGAAGAAAAGCATATGGCAATCTTGATATTGTTCGTGTTCAGATTGTGAAATTACTTCAAGCATAAGAGATTCAGACTTTAGAAGATAAAGTTCAGACTTTATACTGCAGATGAAAATGTTCATACTTTATACTCAAAGAGGTTCAGACTTTACACCAAAGATGATGAACTTCAGACACAAGTACAGAGCATAAGTCTAGAACATGAAACAAGTTCAGAACATACACAACGGCTAGTAATCTGGATTGGATTTCACATATAAAAAGATTAGAGTAACTCAATCTTAAAGATTGTTTTGCAACGATTTAATATGCAAAACATCTTGATTGATTAGCAATTAATCTCGAGACAAGCTATTTTCTAAATGGAGAAGTTCTATTTATGGAAACCAAAACTTTGGTTGTATGGGCGATCAGATTCAGCAGAGATTCAGATTTTGTCCCTCAACAGCTGCGCAATCTTCTCGATACAGTCCTATCTAATGGGTAGATTGGAAGACGATCCTCTGGAGACTGTCCAACGGCTAGTTTGGAAGTGCCGGAGTATAAAAGAAGATCAATGTGCCGAGGAGCAAAAGCAAGAGACAGGATTCATAATCTAGAATTCCAAAGTCTGAGCGATTTTCAATTTATATACTTGTCCTTCGTGAACTTTAAAGTATAATCTTTGAGAGAGACTGAAAAGAGTGATTGAGTGAGACAGTGAGACCTATCATACACTGAGAATTATCATTCACAATTGTAACCTCCTAATTGATCATCTAGTGGAATCCAGCCAGTAGACTGTTAACGCAGGAGAGTTGACGTAAGCTTAATATAATCCGAACCACTATACGTCTTGTGTACAGATTTTATCATCCATTGAAAACTCCTTTGTATTTATTACATTGCACACTTACACAATTGTTATCAAAGATTGTTTAAAATCTGAACATTGTTCAAACTTTGTTCTTGATCTTTTACTTCCGCTTTAAATTGGTCAAGAATTATTTTTAAATCACTTATTCACCCCTCTCTAGGTGATCCTTGCTAGCCACCTCAGACATAACCACTTAAGGCTCCTATTTGAAATAAAATCCACTTCATACCCTTATTTGAGAAAATAAGGGCACTTCATGCTCTTATTTGAAATAAGGTCAACTTTATGCTCTTATTTGAGAAAATGAGAGCACTTCAAGCCATTATTTAGAATTTTTCCTATGTTATATATATTTCAATGTTTATAGCTAGACAGATTTTTTGACCTTTTATCTGTGCTTCTATAAAAAGTAAAGAGAATCTCTCATATTTAAGGATCACAATCCTTGTTTTCATTCCTATTATATCCTCCATCAGTCGTTTTATAAATATTTTATCAATGGACAAATGTGTAAATTACTAATTCTATTTAACCGATCATGTATTTCAATTTCAAAACTTGAATCGTTTTCACCTTATAAGCAACTACATCTAAAAAAGTTCAAATTCTTGAAATATTTCCCTCCTTTTAATATTTACTAAACTTACTTATTAAAACTCCATTTGTTTCATAGAAAATGAATAATTTGAAAAGTATTTTTCAAAAAAAATGATCGCTTGGGATAATTATTCAAATATTTTCATTGTCAATAATAATTTATATCTAAACATTTTTCGTGAATGATGAAAATATTTTTCGTTCGTTCATTTTTTAACGTGAAATAAATGCACCCTAAACAACGTGACAAGTTCCAAAAGGATGTTGAAATTAGTGAAACCAATAAACTGAATGATTGACTTTTTGCTACTTCATTTTTTTTTAATGTAACAGAGGCTTATTATTTCATTTAACAACAAGCGCACTAGAGTAAAGGGTATCAAAATACAAGATCTCCCATAGAGGAGGTGGTAGGTAAGAAACTCAATAACGTGGAAGGGTCTTACATATTTTACAACTCAATCTGTTAGTCTATTTGAATTTCGATGGTAGTACACCAGCTTAAGACACTAAAAAACGGCCAATAAGCCCAAACATTATGTGATAAGTGGCTCAACATCCTAGGAGTAGAGAGAGGAATCTTGCAGGAAGCTTATCAAGGTGGAGTTGTCATTTTTCGGCATAAATTTCTATCCATATCAACCAGCAAAATGACGAAGAGCATGGAGACAAGCAAGGGTTTTGGTGCAAAGGGCGGGGGACACTCGGATTGGTTGCGCAGATCCTTCAATCAATCTCCCTTCACAATTGCGAACACAAAAGCCAAAACCTCTTCCTTAGACCCCAAGAGACGCAATTCGTCGATGTTAATTTTCAACGTTCCTGGTTGTGGTGGCCTCCACCTCGGAGATAAATCCTCTGATGCATGCTCTCCCTCCTTGTTACTCTTGTTCCACTTCGCATAATTCTAGTGCATGGCAAGAGCTGAGTCTACTATGCTTTTGAGACTAGAATTCTGGTGTTGGAAGACAATGGAATTTTGTGCTAGCCAAATATTCTAGGGAGTGGCTGCAATGATCTCTTCTTTTGGGTCGGATCTACATAGTTCGGCAACCACTCCTCAATTCTAGTCACTTGTTGGTGAGAGAACTGGAAATTAAATTATGAACTAGACCAAACCTGCTTTGTCATGTCACAGGAGAGGAATAGAAGTTCCACCGTTTCAAATACCTTACGGCACATGGGGCAGTGAGACTTGGATAAAAGCTTCCTCTTATACAAGTTAACCTTGTTTGATAAAGCATTTTGGCAGACACTCCACGTTATTGCAACTTTTCAATGTCAATTGTTTTGCAAAATTGCAACGCGTGTACACTTTTACTAATATTGAAAAGGCATATGTTCACTAGAAGTCCTAAAACTTATTACCAAAGTGCAACTAAGTCCTAAAACTTGCAAAAAGTGCAATCAAATCTTAAAACTTGTCAAATTGGTTCAATCAAGTCCTAAAGTTAACACCATCAAATTGTTTAACGGAAAATGCTGACGTGGCATATTTAAATCAATTTCTCTCTCCTATGTGGCATTTATTATTATATTCTCATTCAAATCTTATTTACATTAAAAAAATTAAATTTTTATTTATAAAAACAACAATGAAAAAAGAAAAAGAAAAAGTAAAAGAAAGGGGAGTCCTTGCCGTTGGACACTGCTGCCCATCGCCGACCCTAGGTGAGGGGCGCCGACCCTTACTAGGCTTGAGCAAGGCTCACTCAGATATGGGTGAATTTGACCGTCGCTCAAGCCTAGCGAGTGTCGTCGGCCCTCGCCGAGGGTCGGCGAGGGTGGGTGGCACCCAAATTTGGGCGAGCCTCGCAAGCCCTAGGCGAGGGCCAGTGATGCCTTGCCCAAGCTTGGCAAGGGTCGCTGGCACTTGCCTAGGGTCAGCGAGACCTTGCCCCAAGGTAGGCTATGGTCACCGACAGCGAGGGCTAACGTTGCCCAGATCTAGGCGAGCCTCGTCGACCTTCTCCAGCCACCCTCGCTTGCTGGCCCCTTTGGCGATGGGCGGCGGCAACAGCAACGCCCTGCCGGCAAGGCCTCCTCTTCTTTTTTTTTGTCCATTATTGTTTTTTTAAATAAAATTTTATCTTTCTTTACTTTTTTTAATCTAATTTAAATAATATTTAAAGAAGAAGAATAATAAGAAATGCCATGTAGGAGAGCAAAATTGATTTAAATACCACGTTAGCATTTTCCGTTAGACAAATTAATGGTGTTAACTTTATGACTCGATTGAACTAATTTGACAAGTCTGAGGACTTAATTGCACTTTTTGTAAGTTTTAGGACTCAACTATACTTTGGTAATAAGTTTTAGGACTTCTAGTGAACATATTCCTATAAAAAAAAAGGGGGAATATATGGTTTGTGCTTTTAAATTACTTATTGATTTTCTCAGGATCTTTTAAATTTTTTTAACATGTATTGGAGTATGTATTTATATTCCACAAGAAATACGAATATGTATTTATATTGCAAAGTTTTTTTAACTCATATTGGAATATA